AAAAGCTTCATCTGCCTCAGTAGAACTATTGTATTTTCCTGAGGGGGCTGTTTCAGTTTTGGACAATCTTTTGCTGGGTCGGATAAGTGAAATTAGAGGTAAATCATCATACAGCTCTCCACTAGCAGCTAAAGATGCTGATTTGTTAGAATTGGATTTACTCATCACCCCTGAGTATGCATTAGACATGTTATCTGAGCAATGATCATTCCCTTCTGTGTCAGTTTCAGAGCAGCAATCCATTGTGACATGTTTTGCTTCAAGCTCCTTAGTTTTTGACTGTTTCAATTTGTCAATTTCAAGCAGCAACCTCCTACAGAATAGCAATGGTCTTAAGCAAATAATAAAGACCAATGTCTCCTAAGTCCAAAAAGACAATATCATGAATCTATATTTGGCCCTTAAAATCTTTAAAATCTAAAAAAATTACCTTTTGAATTGTGGAAACTCCAATTTTCAAAAGTTACAAGCTAGCAGCTAAATAATCAGGGCTCATGTAAGCAAATTTACCTGGCCTCTTCAACATGGTCAAATCTTATCATGTGGCTATAATGCATATTCTCCAATGCAGAAATCTGAACAGAAGGAAGCTTAGCTTTAGCAGCAATCCTGCAGTATGGTAAAACAGAGCAGAAATTAAACTTTTAAACTAATAAAGCAAGTACAAGTTAAATTCGTTGATTTGTTTTGAAAACTCAAAATAATGACCTGGTGTGCTAGGATGATAATTATTTACACATGCAAAACAAATAATCAGAAATTTAAGCATCTACTTTGGTTGCAAACACTTGCAATTTGCTAAAATGGCACAAGACATTGATTTGGAATACCTTATTGTCATAACTTCAACAATCAACAACCAAAAGGAAAAATTAAAGCATCAACCAAAAGGAAAAATTAAAGCATCCGATGACTGCAAAAGAAACAAAGGTAAATCCTTTGATCCAACTACTTAAATTTAGATTCAAATAACTTCGCAACATGAAAGATGGGGCTCAGAAATGCAAGGTCTGTCCTGAAGCCTCTGAAATTGACACTTCTATGTGTATTTATGAGAGCTCAAAGGGAAGACCTCAATAAAGGATCTATTTCCATTGGTTCCAAATAGTAGGAAATGAGAAATTCTTGTTTACTACTTTTCAGAAACTTATTTGCCATTTTTAAAAATTTTTCACCGAATGATTTTCAACATGACCCAACTCCAAAATTTTGAAAATGGAATAGTAAACAGAAAGCAAAAAAAATAAAAAATAAAAAACTAAATGGCACCTAAGAAAGTAAAGATAGAAAACGTGACCTGCAGCCCTCTTGAAATGCCTCAAGTGCTCCAGCCCAATCTCCACTGCAGTCCAAAACATCACCGATATTGATTTTTGCCAATGCTTGACCCTGAAGTTAACAACAGTTAATAATTTATCCACCTCCAAGTATAAAACACATTCAAGAACAATGCATTGACTGCAAAACCCTTCCCTAGAGCAGGACCAACAACATCTCTGAATCCCAAGCAACACAAATTAAGTTTTGTACTTTGATTATCAAGATCATTTACAAATAAAAAACATAAAACAATTGTTAGTTTCAATTAATTATACTTCAGTCAAACAACAAACTTGAGAATCATATACTAAACAGATCATACCACTAATACCAAGCTCACCTCCAGATTTCCAATTGACTTGTATCCTTCCCAACTCTTTGTGTACCATTTAATAGCTTTGCTGAAGTTCCTGAGCTTCTGGTATGATTCTCCAACAACTAAAAATGCATCACTCAGCTTTTCCTTATCACAAAGTTCACTTGCTATACTCTTCTTCCTTTTGGCAAATTCACGATGCTAAACATAAATATTCAAAACATAAGCAAGACAATATTGAATATGCAAGAACAAATCTAAAATACTCACCTACTACAAAAGTCCATGACATTATACAGATATTATTTGCACAATTTTACATCCTGCTAAAATATTATCAATATAAACAGCAATGCTAAAAGCAAACATGAAAATACCAATATCTGACTACACTCCAACAATAGGCTTTGATGCATATTAAGAAATTAAGATGGTTTTCTTCCACTATGGAAGCCATTTAAGAAGCCTTATATACACCTAAATAAATTAAGAAACTTATCCATCTTTTGGTTTAAGGTCCTCTTCTAGTCTAGGTTTTTCTGGACTTCTTTCAACTTTTAGGAGTCAAGCCACCCATCTTCCCTGAATCACTGGACAACAAATCTATGAAAAGAGCACCAGTAGCCTTTACAAATACATGTTTTAGTAAGCATATAAGAGAATAACTTTTTCCAGTCTTCCTTTGCCCAGGAGTATTTTAAACATTGAAACTTCCATTTGACAGTGCAAAATCTCACTTTGGACAGCCTAGTATTTTCTCTTTCTCCTACTTTTCTATGTTTTTATTTCTTACCCTTCATATCTAATTGCAGCCTAAAGTAGAGAAGAGCAGAAAAAATCAAAGCAAAACTACAAGAAACACTATCCATCCCCCAAACCCTCTAAAACCAAGCTATAACCACCTAAGTTTTTTCAGCAATTAAATCCCTTTTTCTGAGTCCTTATGACCCCTTCAACTAGTAAGCAAACAAACCATAACGGATAATCCACAACATACAGTGAGAATCTAATGGTACTGGATCATGCACATTCTTAAACATCCCTGAATTGACTTTTCTTTGCTTCTACTTTGTTGTCATTTTCTAAATGCACCAAATCTTTCTAAAAGTAGACAATAATCATTCTCATATCCAAGACAATAATCTCTTAACATAACAAAAGAGTAATTTGCCTAAAACTAAAAGCACAAAATAAATGGGCTGCAATGCCATCTAATATCATTAAGCGTCCAGAACATCTACTCGATATTGCTGTCAATGTTCTTTAGTTATATATGCATTAACATGCTCTGTACCCTTTATAGCATATTGATAACCAAAAAGGAAAAAGAACTAAAAAGAGATGGCAAAAAAGCATCCCATCCATGCTATTTATCCCATTCAACTATAAAAAGGAACAAGGAATATGATGAATCAAACTCCTCAGTCCCCGCAACCATATTCACATGCAGTATAAGACAAAGCAAGCATCAGGGACAAAAAGCTTTTGAGCAAAACAAAAAAAAAGTATATGGTAGAGCGTTGATTTGAAACCATATCAATAGCATAGCAAACACCAAAGAATTATGTGCTATTATGTCCAATGCACTTTCAGCATGGGGCTTTAGAAAAATAATGACAATAATTGGATGACATCTAAGACTGTCTTCCATGTTAAAATGCAATTATGCTTGAAAGGAAACAAAAGAAAGAAAAATTCACGTGCAACAGGAGCTAACCTTCAGCCATGCAAAGATCATAGCTGATTTCTCAATGAGACGATCTAGACATGAATTCTGCTGTAGCAGAAACTTACGCTCCTCCGGTGCTCCTTTTGCTGTAACCATCTTTCTTCTAAGCTTCTTGAGATTCTGCTCTTCTTTTTTCAGTTCATTCATTACATTAATAGCTTCCTTTACAGTATTGATATTTTGATTGATTTGTGCTGCTAAAGCATCCTCATCTTCCATGGATTTTGCCAAATTAAGTGCCTTCTGGTAGCAAAGTATTGCCTCATCATACTTTTGTACCCTGTAATGCAACTCACCAAGATTAATGTACCCTTTCGCCTCCCCTTGGCAGTGCCCAATTCTCTTACAAATTATTATGTCCTTCTCAATGTGTTCACGAGCTTTTTCCCACCTCCTCAACTCAATATAAACATTTCCCAGATTGTGATGAAGCCTACTACGCCCATCATCATCCTCAGCGACTTCCTCTTCATCGCATATCTCCAAACCTTTAGTGAGGAATTTTAGTGCTTCATCCAAGTTATCAAGGTCCATTTCTAGCATTCCTATATTATTGTGTGCATCAATATACTCTTTGCAAAAAGAAGACTTATTATTAGGGGGGTTCTCCTTGAGAGTCTGAGCAAGCTCCATGGCACACTTAAAATACTTTTTGGCTTTCCGAACTGAGTAATGGTCACCATCAGATTTTAAAAACATTTCATGGTAGGTACGCCCAAGTTGTGTGCTGGCTCTTTGCTGCTCAACAAGATCATTGGCATCCTTAGCAAGATCCAAATGTTTTTTCTGCAATAAAATTAAAAAAATACTGTAATTATTTATCAATCAGAAATGTACCGAACTAAATTTTATTTTTTTGTGCATATGAGATGCACTGGGTTTTGGGCTATACATCAAGAGGCAAAACTCTGCCATCCCAATCCCATTCTCAAGACTTGAACCTAGGACCTCCAAATTGAAGTCTCAAGTTCTAAGTATTGGAGCATCCTCTTGAAA